TGATAACTTACCTATTTCATTATCTTGTCTTAATCCAGCCAAGCAACCCTTTCCAAAAACTTGTGGGGCATGCTGATCATGTGATGTCCATAGATTTTCATCCATCAAAGGTGGGTCTTCTCAGTTCTTGTGATAGCAACGACGAGATTAGACTGTGGGATGTCAATGACGGTGATTGCAAACTAATTTTTAAGGTTGGTGTCTCCACTTCTTTTTGTAATGTTGATGAAGAGAGTGTCTCTGCTTGGCATAGGAAAGCCTCCTTCATTTGAAATTTACCTGCNTAGGAAAGCCTCCTTCATTTGAAATTTACCTGTTTTTCTGTTTCCATTTCAAATTTTACTTATCTACCTACTCTAAGTCATTGTTGAATCTGTTTTGCTCATGAATTCCTGCATTTAGCATGTGGGAAAAGCCGATCCTAACTAGTTTGGGATTGAGTTGTAGTAATATTTGTTGTTGTTGCAAGGAATTTCAAGGTTTTCAAGATCAATAAGTCGTTACCATGTGAATACACATGCAAATAGGCCATTTAGGATATAAATGGTTGAGTTTCATAATATTATTTGACGGAGATAGGTATCACATTCAGCAAGGGAAAGTACAGTGCTAAAGTAACTTTCTAGAGAGTTAGATTTACTCAATTCACAAAAGATAGTATTGATTTGCTCTTGGTACAAACGCAGGGAGGTAGTAGACAGGTTAGATTCCAACCTCGATTTGGGAACCTTTTGGCATGTTCTACAGGAAATATTATAAATATATTTGATGTGGAGACTAACAGCGTCCAACTACAGTTACAAGTAAGATGTTTTATTCCAAATCAAGCTTGTCTTAAATTTCTTATCTGCAACATTACTGGATCCTATCAATGCGGTCTCTTTTTCTCTGATATACAGGGACATGTCGGAGATGTCCGTTCAATCTGTTGGGATATGAGCGGGAATTTCCTGGCATCCATGAGCGAGGATAGTGCACGGATATGGTGTGTTAGCGGAAGAAAGTGTTTACATGAACTGCGTTCCAGTGGCAATAAGTTCCAGTCATGCACTTTCCACCCTGACCGCGCTCAAATCTTGGCGATTGGTTCTCATGAGGTATGCTTAACAGATGAAGCTTTGAGCTCATAGATAAGTTCTTTGTAGACTTGGCTTGATTATTGTCTCAATATAGTTGCACAACAACAAATGTAACCTAGTATTATTCACATGAATCACATGTAACCATCTCAAAAAGATAACTTTTTAGATGATCCTAGATTCTTTTGATATTTCATGAAGGAAAGTAACATGTCAAGTGTTTTTGCAGTTACTGGAGCTGTGGAATCCAATGTACCAGAGCCACAGAACTTGGCCACACCAAGCACATGGTGGTATAATTTCTTCATTTGCAGATTCACCTCCGACAGGAACCATAGCCTCAGTGAGTCACGACCAATATATCAAGATATGGCAGCGATGCTTGTTTCTTCGTGGATCAAGATACAGCCATCAAACTTGTTTCTTTCTCTTCTTATTGGAGGATTTTTATATGATATCTTGGCCATTTACATAATCATAAAGAGATGCTTCCTTATTTATAGGAATCAGTTTATTTGTCATTAATTGTTGTACAATGGCAATACTCCCAAAGATCTTTTTATACTATATTAGAAAGGTATTTTCAATGCCCTGCTATTCACTTTGGATGCCTCGATTTAAACTTATCCTATCCATAAAATGCTGGAAATTACATCAATCATAGTAAAACTAGAGCTGTATACACTGTTTTGCATGTTATATAAGTTGAATAACACACCAAAGAGCCAAGAACTCAAACATAAAGCAAAAATGATTGGCAATTATTATTGTGTCGGAGTGATGTTACATTTCAACTTTCTTGGCTTTCACGTATAATTAGTGCGGACATTTCTCTTTTTGTTGAAGTTCTCTTCTTATATATATAGAGAGCTAAGATTTTGTATATTAAAATTGAAGTTTTTAAGAAAGAAAATAGTTCAGAAATCTTGTAGGAACTCTGTCAACGCTCACAATTCCTTTTCGAAAAAGGCCTCAAGTTTAGTGCTGCATTCACCCATTTCATTGATTCGAACATGAGTTTCACTTAGTTAAGTTCAAGCTAGATGGTCGAAAGCCTTTCAGACAACAAGTATGGATTTGGATTTCGTACCTTTGCTGTTAGTCCATAAGAATCAGGCGTTAAAAATTTAACTGCACCAGATGTTTAGACCAATTCAATGAATACATGACACATTTTTATTTATCGTCTTCTTACCTCAATTGATGACTTAGCTATAATATAGCCACCCACCTAAAAAAGTAGTTAACAGATGTATAATATATGTAAAATTAGCGTATGATTCATGTATACTGGCTAGTAGTAATAAATATTTTTGGTCGAGCAACCAAGTGTGTAACTTTTTCCCAATAAATTATTATAATTTAATGTAAACACGGGATGTGAGTAAGTTATTATAAATTATTTTCCTATGTTTGATTGACTTAAATATTTTGAAAAATATTTTCCTCCAATTGGAGGAAAATGTTTTCTCTATCAAAAGAAGGGAAAATATTTTCCAAAATTCTTTTTCAGCCTTCTCCACCCCTATTTCACATCCCCACCAACTCACCCCCACCCACCCC